ATTTGTGCAATGAAAAGATCCCACACGTTAGGCTTACTCCATGCTTTATTTCTCAAAAAAGCATGGAGCATTGTCTTGATAGATAGATTTTTGCAAGATACAGTTCATGCTTTGAAAACTTAAAAAAAGACTCTTTTGAATTATCAGAAATCTTTGAATAGATCAAGCCACATGACATCCAAGCGTATCAAACGATTATTATATCTCACTGACTATCGCATCCTTTATAACCACAACACTATCCCCCCAGGTCAAGTGATGATTACTAGCCTCATTGATTCAAAGTAAGATGAGAAGTGTTCATGCTCTTATGGAATGACTAAGAATCATTAGATGGAATACATCTTTAGTAATTTCAAAAAATTTCAAGCACATATCATAACTATTCAACATGAGAAATTTCAAACTTAAACGACTAATCATGTAGCAAGTATGAAGCATAACAAGGCAAAGTATCTCAACACATTTCCAACCCATAGGCATTTTCCTCAATGTACTAAATAATCGTAAGCCATGGTAAGTTTGGAACAAGTTACCTCATTTTTTGTTCGTAAACTTCAATTATAGCAACCGAATTGAAATTCCTTGTGTTTGGAACAAATAATCGATAGGGATGATCGATAGGGATGATCCTCGTACATAAAAAAGAAAAGTAATCAGAACAGGTGACAACCGAATTGAAATTCCTTGTGTCTTCATGGTGTAGTTGATTTTATGTCCACCATCTCCTCCTAGTCCTCGAGCTGTAGACGGGATGGTGCCTCATGTAGGGATTCGAGTTGGGCAACCAAGTCATCCTCCCACTTCCTCCGTTGTTGGAACTCCATCTATAGATTAGTAGCCAATTTCAATTGTCCTTGACTAAGCTTTCCTATATCTACATTCATTTTCATCTTGGGCAAAGGAAAGTTGTTTCATTGTAACAAGAAATTCATGCATCTCCTTATCCAACTTGTCACTAGTACGGTTTGACCATGGCTTCTTTCCTTAGATGGTGTGTCCTCCAACACCTTGTATTTTTATTTGATCAGGTTCGCACGTATTGGGGAGTGACCGATGGGCCTCGATTCTAGTTCAGAATGACATATTGTTGATGCTAAATCAATGCCATGCCTAGCCAATATATAGTTTGAAGTTGATCATAGTAAGGGTAGGTGGTCTTGCTTTAAACAACCCTACAAACTTCATGGTAGTAGTGTTTCCTTCTTCTTCATGATGGTTGAGACTAGGACAAGGCTTATCTGGCCAATTACGAAAAGTCGCATTGATGAAATCTTCTCTAGTCATAATTTCCCATTCTCTAGCAGTCTTTATGGCAGTTGCCATTACCTTGGTTAGATGAATTAGCTTGTCGTAGAAGATATCTTTGATAGATGGATAATTCATCATAATACAACAAATTTATACTCTCATGGTCTTTAGACACATAATGCGTTGAATGAACATGTGGAGAAGCGTTAGAAAGGAATATTAATATCTCCATCCTTGCTTACTGTGGGGTGAGTTCATCTAGACGTGCAAGGTGCCTCCACACGACATTAGCTCCTTCTATTCGCTTGTTTGTGGTAATAAGGCCAACAAGTCTATCTTTCATCCTACTATGACTCCCTCCGGTCTTGTAGCAAGCTTTAGAACTAGCGTGGTGTAGCTAGCTTTCTAGTTGACTCCTCCAACTTGGTACTCGTTGCATTCTTTATCTTCATCATTATCACATTGCAGCTCCATCTGATGTTGAGTAGGGTTTCTAGGCCGAGTGCATTCAGCCTCTCGAGAAGAGGACTCCCCCATCCATCATACTTCAACAGGCTAGGCATGGGTTCCTGCTAGGGGTGGGCATTGGGTGGGTCGGGTGGATTTTGACCATAAAATGCACCCATCCGCGCTTAAACCGATTGATAATTTTTCACCCACCACCCACCCACATTTAGTCTCGGGTTGGGTCGGGCGGATGGTGGATGATGCGGGTGGGTTTGTGGGTTCACCCACATCACAATGTATATATTAAAAAGGAGTCAACTTGACATGATAATAGGTGAAGAGAATCATCGAGGGAAACAAGAAGTTGAAATAGGGCGAAAAATGTCAAATTAGTTCTTAAATTGGATAGAAATTCTATTATGAAAGAGTTTTCTACAGATTGAGACGATTATTAAGTGCAAGGAACTAAGGAAAATAATTCCACAAAGGAAAGAGCGGTGATCTAGGCACAAGAATTAGATGAAAAAGTAAAGGGAAGAAGAGGGGATCTCTATTTGGAAGGTTGGCTTTGAGGTTCAAACTCCAGGAGCAGTCCGAGTTTATATCTAACATCTCTACTCTCCTCTCTCTAGCGCCAACGACTTTGATCTTTTTGCTGTTGGGTTGAGCGGGTCACCCGCACACTCACCCACAACCCACCCACCACCCGACGGATGGCTCCCAGCGCAACCCGTCACCCACCCACTTAACGAAATTCGGGTCAAATGCGGGTGGGTCGGCCCAAACCCGCGGATGATCCGCCCGTATGCCCAGTCCTAGTTCCTGCAATAAGAGTGGAACGCTATCGAAGCAACAATTTTGCTTTTTTATTTGGGTTTTATTGTGAGAATCTATTTCACATTGAAAAAATTAAAACCAACTAGACATGTTTTTTCTCTTAGTTTCCACAATTTTTAAAATCACAATTTTTAAAAGCCAACAAGTAATCGGATGTGGCATTAGATTTCCATCAACTCTCTGACCAAAAAAAGATTTTCATCAACTCAAATTAATCATGATGGATAATGCATGTATAGATTTTCACATATTTATGACTTGGTTTAATTTATATAAAACACTTAGACTTTGAACCATATTTGATCGATTGAGACAAGGTATGGATCTCAAATATTGAAAAACTTAGTGATACTTCGTTATCTTGTTATATTGTTTGTTGGTTTTCTTTTAATGAGTCCAAACTCCAGTGATCATTTTATTACCTTGTGTAAGATTTGGTCCAATGGGACTCATCTAGTGAGTGGTTGGATGATATCATTTTTATTATTTATTTGGTGAATTAGTATGTTAACTGGGCGATTTGAATAAAAAATTTGAAATGGTAGCAATCTAATTATATTGGATCTCTATCATACCGTTTTACCACTCGATAACGATTTACCACTAAAATTAAACTTGTACTACATCGATTAAAAATAAAGAATTAAATGACTTTATAAGGCCAACTTAATTGTAAAAATTAAATCAATTGAGATGGGCCAAGTGGGTTGCTTTTTTGGGCCCATAATCTCATGGCATCATGCGCCACTCTAGCCATCTATTCCAAAATTTGGCTAAGTATTGGAGCCACTCCCATGACGGGCCAAGGGGTGTGGACACCATACCGCTACCACCATGATGTGTTGGGGGGCATCATACTGCCACCCCCATGACGTGGTGAGGGGCGTGACCACCATACCGCCACCCCCATGATGTGCCGGGAGGCATTATACTGCCACCCCCATGACGTGGTGAGGGTGGGTACAATATTGCCACCCCCATGACGTGATAAGGGGGTGAACACCCCCATGAGGTGATCAACTTACACCCCTAATGAGGTGGTCAAGGGGGTGATCGACATATGCCCCCATAAGATGATCAAGGGGTGACCATCAACGCACGCCCCATGGTACGATTAGGGGGTGAGATCAACATACACCCCCATGAGGTAGTCAGGGGGTGTTCATCTTGGGTAAAATTTGGCTGCGTCTGGAGATGGTTGGCCGAATTTGGCCAAGGAAAGGAACACCCCCATGAGGTGATCAAGGGGTTGGATCATACACCCCGATGAGATGGTCAAAGGGGCCACCAACGTACCAAGCCCCGTGGTATGATCAGGGGGTGGGGATCAACCCCATGAGGATCGGGGGGGGGGGGGGGTCACCCCCTAGTATGACGAGAACAAGTGAAATTTGGCTATGTATAACCCCCTTGGGAATGAAATTTGACCAAGTATGCAGCTCTCATAGTGGTGAACTATTCTTGCCATTTTTACTCTATGTGATCCCAACACACACCCACATGTAGCAAGGGGGTCTTCACGCTTTCTTCATTTTTCTCAACTGGCATAACTATCAGGTGAGGGGGCCAAGACTGAAGAAGATCCAACCACCAATGGCACGGCATAATCGAAGCAGTTGAGAGGGTAACCACCACTCCACGTCAGCTGGGTAGTTTCTCGAGGCAGTTAATTTTTGTGGCTATAAATAGGAGGTGAAGAAGATGGAGAAAAGGTTCGCAAAAATCACAACTCGACACCACTTGTCAAGTTTTATCTTTTTCTCTTTTCCTCTGCAGATTTTAGCCATAGTCGTAGTTTTGGAGCTCTCACTGAACCTCCATAGGAGTAGGGCTAATTTAATGTAGATTTGCCTCGTAGTTCATCAAAACATTTAACACCCTTGTTTGAACTTTATTCAAAGAGGTGTCAACTATGTTGTTTGATCTTTTGTTTGGAAGTCAACGGTGCAAAATCCAATTTTGTTTATCTAGTTTTTCTCACTAGGAAAACAAATTGGCACACCTGGTGGGACCCGTGTGTTCGATTTGATGGCTCCGAGGCGGAGGAATCAAGAAGGTGACGCTCCGGCTGGTTTTGTGGAGGAGCAGGTGGCCAAAATTGAACATGGCCAAGTGTCAGTGGCGGTGGCCGGAAACAATGGTGGGGCAGAGATGCTACCAACAGCGACGCCCAGTGGAGATATTGGCGAAGTAGTGGGGATCCTTTGTCAAATGATGGAGGAGAACCACAAGATGGTGGCAGAGAACCATCAAGCCACAGAGGAGAACCGTCAAATGATGGTGGAGAACCGATGCATGATGGAGGAAGCTAGAGCTGCTTCTCATAAGGTAAATTCTCAAATGGACTGTCTTAATTCTAGAGTTGATAGACGTCTAAGTCAATTATTCAAAGTGGTTAATCAGAACAAAAGTGATTTTGATGAGTTTAGAAGTTTTTAACCACACCAATAATCCAATCTAGAGCTATGTCATTAGATAGCGAGAATTCAAACCCCAATAGCAAAGCTGGAAATTTTAGTCCATCTTCACTCGGCGGCGGAAATGGCCAGCCGCGACAAGATAACCTGGTTTCCACCGATGACAAACCAACCAACTTTTCACCGCATGAATCGCGGCAAGATTCCTGCCACTACTCAAGTGGAAGGGATACCCAATGTGGGAGTTGGAGAAATTCCCCCACGTGGTGAGAATTTGGGACTTACACATTCTGCTCCAGTGGAACCACCACCCATACCCATACCAGTGGCAAGGCCATATACGGTGCCTGCTCACATGGGAGGGGGAGTAGGCTTAGGTGGGGGAGATCAAGTTCGTCCGAGAGCATACCCAACACCCATGCCACCCCATTTCAATGGGCATGGCATGGACCCCATGGGTTTCGTACCCCAAGGGGGGCAACTAGGGGGCATGATCCCAACAATCTAAGGGACCAGGTGGCTCAACTTCTTGCCGAGCAATTTGGCATGGGAGTGAGACCCACCATGCCACCTGTTTATTGAAAACCATACCTTGAGTGGGTGGATAGACTCTACTCATTCCCAAGGGGATTTAGGGTGCCCGAGTTTGCCAAATTCACTGGGATAGGGGACCAGTCTACTGTGGAGCACATTGGACATTTTACTAGGAGCACATTCGGTTCGGCGCAGCTCAATTCGACGCTCCAGAGTATCGAGCTTCTCGTTCGAAGACAGGACCGAGACAAAGAAAGGAGATTCAGACCGCCATCCCGCTGCCCATTTTCCTTGCCTCTCTGTTTTCGTAACGCAAAAAAAAAAAAAACATGAGTATAGAAGAAAAAAGCGGCTGGTTGGCTTTTGCCGGCGGAAATAGCAACCCTGCAGAAATATATACTCAGTACACATAAAACCATTTCTTCATACATTGTTTGCTTTCCTTGCTAGCCTTTCTCACGAATACAGAGCAAACCCTAAAAAAGCACAAGAACAGAAGATAGTCGGAAGAGCGAAAACGAAACCGGGGATCGATAGAAAGGGAAAGAGAGAAAAATTACTACTAGTAGCCATGGCGAGGAGTAACGACGGCGAGGTTTCGAGGGAGACGCAGATGTCGAGCGAGGCGTCGATGTTTCCCGGGTTCAAATTCTCGCCGACGGATGTGGAGCTGATATCCTACTACCTGAAGAAGAAGTTGGACGGCGACGAGAAGTGCGTCGAGGTGATTCCTCAGGTGGAGATCTGTAAACACGAGCCATGGCTTCCTGCTGCACGTTTGGGGGTTCGGTATCGGTATTACCGATTTACCGTCGGTATTTACCGATACCGGATTCGGTATACCAACCCACCCAATTCGCAGCTCGGCTGCCGATACCGCCGGTAAAACGGTAAACCGTTTACCGGCGTACCGAATCCCACCCCTACGTTTTACTATCCAGTGTGGGGATGTAGGAGATTTTATTAAGTTAAGAGTATTTGGAAACTCATTGACAGGACCTGCTTTTGCTTGGTATGTCAAAGTGTCATCCAACTCCTTCCAAACATGGCAGCAGATGGAGCAAATCTTCCATGCTCAGTTCTATAGATCTGAGTATGAGGTTTCCATGGTTGATTTAGCACGAATGCGCCAAGAGCCAGGGGAATCGGTGGAGCATTTCTTGAAAAACTTCAAGAATGCTCGTAACCGTTGCTTTTTCAACTTGACGGAGAGAGAGTTTGTCAAGTTAGCACAAGGTAAGGGTGGGCAAACGGTTCGGTAAACCCGAACCGAACCGAAACCAAATTAAACCGAACCGAAACCGAATTAATGCTATTCGGTTCGGAATTCGGAAGGAAAATATGGATAGTTCGGAAATCAGGGTTCTTTCAATCGAACCAAATTTCCGACAGAAAAACCGAAATACTATAATTGCAAGCTCCAAATGGTCGATTTTTATGTTTGTAGTTGTTTTTAGACTTAAATATTTGAAATATTTTATGACTTATGTGTTGAAAAGTTTGGTTTTATCATTGATGATGCATATAATTTATATTTATTGTTTATATTAGGGGTGAAAAATAATTTAAAAGTGAGAAAATACAAGTAGCTTCACAAATTCGGTTTTGTGTGAAAAACCGAACCGAATTATAATTCGGTTTAAACCGACCAAACCGAATTATATTTCGGTTCGAATTTGGTTTGAGGTTTGGGAGAATTCGGGGACCCGATATTCATAATTTCGGTTCGATCAAAACCGAACCGCCCGAATGCCCACCCCTAACACAAGGGGGGTTGAGTTTTGAGTTAAGGAAGAAATTCCAAGATATAGAATTTTCTGACGTATTCCAACTCATGTCTTGTGCGGTGAGATATGAATCTCTCCTTCAAGAAGAGGAGAATAGGAGGAGTGCCTCAAGGGGGCAATACTTCCCCAACATCGGCTACCCTATTAACCATATTGGCCAAGAGGCCAATGAGGTGGAGGTAGACCTACCTGAGTTAACTCCGGGAAAGCCATATGTATGTGCTCCTTTAGCTAAGATGGACAATGAACCACAAGGGGGTAGACCAAATCGTGCCCCCATCCAGCCACGGAAGTATTCCTTCGATATCTCTAAAGCTGACTTGATTTTTGACCAACTCTACAAGGATGGTCAAATCAAGTTGACAGGGTGGCATAACATCCCACCCCCTGAGAAGTTAAAAGGAAAGAAATATTGTAAGTGACATAATAGCATGTCACACTCTACTGACTCATGTGTGGTTTTTCGCAATGTATTGCAGGATGCCGTCGAGAAAGGTCGTATCAAGTTCCCTGAACCAAAGAAGGATGTCATGTTGGTGGATACCAACCCGTTTCCCAACGTGCTTGGTGTCAACATGGTTAGCCCAAACTTCTCCAAGATCGAACTTGGTATATGATCAAGGGGTGGGATCATACACCGCCATGAGGTGGTCAAGGGGGGCACCAACGTACCAAGCATTGTGGTATGATCAGGGGGTGGGGATTAACCCCATGTGGAACCGGGGGGGGGGGGGGGGGGGGGTCACCCCCTAGTATGACGAGAACGAGTGAAATTTGGTAAGTATAACCCCTTTGGGAATGAAATTTGGCCAAGTAGGCCGCTCTCGTAGTGGTGAACTATTCTTGCCATTTTTACTCTATGTGATCCCAACACCCACCCACATGTAGCAAGGGGGTCTTCACGCCTTCTTCATTTTTCTCAACTGGCATAACTATCAAGGTGAGGGGGCCAAGACTGAAGAAGATACAACCACCAATGGAAGGGCATAATCGAAGCAGTTGAGAGGGTAACCACCACTCCACGTCAGCAGAGCTGTTTCTCGAGGCAGTTACTTCTTGTGGCTATAGATAGGAGATGAAGATGACAGAAAAAAGGTTCGCAATAATCACAACTCGACACCACTTGTCAAGTTTTATCTTTTTCTCTTTTCCTCTGCAGATTTTAGCCATAGTCGTAGTTTTGGAGATCTCACTGAACCTCCATAGGAGTAGGGTTAATTTAATGTAGATTTGCCTCGTAGTTCATCAAAACATTGAACACCCTTATTTGAACTTTGTTCAAAGATGTGTGAACTGTGTTGTTTGATTGTTTGTTTGAAGTCAAAGGTGCAAAATCCAATTATGTTCATCTAGTTTTTCTCGCCGGGAAAACAATAACATAATCCAAGGGTCACCCTACCCCACGTGTAAACATGAAAGAAGAGATAAGAGTAGGGCTAAGATCAAGTGATATTATGGTTCTAGTCTCATCTAATTAGTATAAGTTGGTAATTGAATGATTATTTTGTTTATCAATTATGAAGTAAAGTAAAGTGGGCTCCATTGACATATTTTTCCTCCCTCCAGCGGCTTTGTAATGTTCGTCGATTTCTTTTGTGATGTTGGTATGTTTTGTCATTTTTGCCTACCATATTTGTAATGTTTATATAACTAAAAGACAATCTGGTTGACTTTGCGACAAAGCCTCCAAAGTTAACAAGGTTGTTTTCCATTTTGTATGATTTGTATGATTTTTATAGTTTGTCATTTTTTTCCATCATGTATTGTAATGTTTGTCTATCTAAAAGCCATGGTTGGCTTTGTGATGAAACTCCTCTGTATAGAACGGGGCCTCCTAAGTTAACCATGTTTTTTTTCCCATTTTGTATTGGTTGTTGGTCTAGTTTGTATGTTTTGTATATTTGGTTTGTAGTAAATTCCAAGTTTGGTCACTTGCTTTAGACCAATGTTGTCAAACCAGTTTATACCGTTGCGTCGGTTTGACGATTGGAACGATACAACCAGTGGTACAAGCAGTTTGTGCCCATTCATGAAGGTTTAACAAAATATGTGAAAATCATTAACAACCAATTAATTTAATCATATATAAAACATATTTGAAGACAATTTACTTACAATCAAATCAACAATATTTGACTTTAAAATTCATGAAATAAATAATAAGCTAATTTTTTGTTAAATAAATTCACTATAACAATGCTATTTTGCTTAGAATTCATAAATCGATCATGCCAGTCATACCAGTAGTGTTTATGCTGGTTTCTTAACCGACAACAATTGAACCAGGTTAAATCGACCGGCATGTCACCGGCATGACAACCATGGTTAGACCAACTTTAGTGGAGGGACAAACTCTGTTAAAATAGGATGATTAGACAATTCTGTTAGCCACGTCAGCAAAAACTGAAGTCGTTAGCGAAAGCTAACGAAGACTAATGGAGAGTGACTAAATGTGGACTATTTCAGTAATTCCAGTAATCAAAATTGATATTAATTTTTTCTAGTGACTAAACATTACACGATTTAGTAAATCTAGTGACAGAACTTGGAATTTACCCATTTGGTTTGTATAGTTTGTAAATTTGGTTTGTATGGTTTGTATAAATTAGGTACAATGCAAAAAAATAGCATTAGCAAAAAAAAGGACAGCTGGAAAGTGATAGCAGAGAGAGAAAAATAAAATAAATAAAAGCATAAAATAAAATCAATTTTCATAATATCAAAATTATCTCTATCCCTAATAATTTTTTTTGTTTGTAATTTAAAAAATTATTTATATTTAGAATCAGGAGAGATTTAGCACTGGCAAAAAAAGGGGACAACTGCAAAGTGATAGCAGAAAGAGAAAAATAAAATCAATTTTCATAATATCGAAATTATCTCTATCACAATTTTTTTTTTTTTGTAAAAGTAATAAATTATTTTTTTGTAATATAAAAAAAATCTATT